TTAATTGATGGTCTTTCTCACTGATTCTTTCCCATTGGGGTAATATATCAGATAGGAGCCACTGATTAGTTCCCAGTGCCAATAGAGAAGATTGTAATGGTTGGTCTAATTTGTATAAATTACTTGTTGCTGAGATTATTTTGTTTGCTAAAACTTCAGCGTCTATGCTGTTTGGTATGCCTAATCCTGTTCCTAAGACACCAGTCACATCTCTCCTTGATCGTTTTGGAGAGGTGAGCGTTCGTCCATGCAGCCGTGCTAGCCATCCTGTATAAGATGTATCCAGGAATGATGAGCAGGTAGGTTCAATTGCAGAGATATTAACCTGCATTGACAGTTCTACTCGTTTGAGAGACCATGATGGGTTAAATAACACTCGTTGTTGGCCTATATTTTTGATCACATATGGTCCAATTTCAGAAATTTGTGGGGATAGGGTTTTCTTATCCTTTACAATTGGGGCGGATGTTGTTGTACTAGGCTCAATAATGTCTATTTTAAATTTAAAGGATAGTCCCACGCTATGGTGAGCCCAGAGGCAGACTCCGAAAACAGGAATACTGAAGAAGGCATTTGCCAAGTCAGTTACAACATGCCAGGCGCTTGCCTCGGTTTCCAGTTGCTCTAACAGGGTGACAATGTCTGGCAGGACCGCAGCCATGGGAGGGGCAGCTTTGTTCAAAAGCTGGTAATCCACAGTCATAGGCCAGGACCCATCTGGCTTCTTCACAGGCCAAATAGAGCTATTAAAAGGAGAATGTGTCCGTTGGATAACCCCTGCTTCTAACAAGTTTGAGTAGTTGAGAGTAGGTCTCAATAGTTTGTATGCCCCCCTCCCCAGGCAGCCGGTATTGTTTTAAGGCTATAGGCTTTGGGGGGGGGGGGGACAGACCTCCCCCCCCCAACCTTCCATTTCCATATCCGAGCTGATTGGATACCAAAGGAATTATTTTCTCCCAGTGGTATAAAAAGTCTTGTCTGCTAACAGATTGTGCTCTATGACATATTCAGGCACTCTCGTAATCCATACTTGATCCGAAAACAGTGGGTATCCTTCTAGTTGCAAGATTAGAGGAACTTCTTGATCTGGCTCTTTCCTTCTCCTGAACGCATTAATATTATCAGTTTATTCTTGGGGCAATGGGACAGATTTCCATGAATTAGGGTTATTTATGCTCTGGTGTCTAGCAGGGCCATCACCTGTTGTTTATTATGCTGGCTCCAAGGTATTACAAGCTGAATGCATGGACAGCGGTCCCCCCAGCTAGCTCCCTTTATCAGCCATATTGGAGGGGGACTGCACATTCCCTGTTCTTGTTTCCAGGGAGAAAGGTCAGGGTATTTAGGGGCAGTTAAAGAAGATGCAACTTCACTGCTGACAGATGATGATGTGGGTGGGACTGATGCCCCGGTGCTTTGCACTTCCTTTCACACCTTCCCCTTTGCTTTTGCTTTCTTATACAGACTCCACAAATAAGGAGTTGGCTTGCCCTCTCTCTGCTCCCTAGGCACTCCTGCCTGTATTAGTGCCAGAAACACCTCTTTCTGAGTAACCTTTCCCTTTGGCTGTTGCATTTGAAATGCTTCAGGCTCCGTCTCCTCTTTTTCAGGCTGATAATCGCCAAGCTGTCCTAGTCATAGAATAACATCCCTCCATCACTGGTTTTCCCACGGCAGCTCCTAGCAAGGAAATTATTGGTTCTTTCAAGGCAAGTGGGGCACCCTCTAATATGCGGGGTTTTGTGTCAGATGTAAAAGGTTACATATAAGGACCTAAAAAGTTATGTGAATGGCCGTGTGGCCAGTTCCTGTAAATACAGACCAGCTATACTTTTCCAGGATGCTGCTTTATTGTAGGTGAGGGATACTTTTAAAGCTTCCCAGAGCCATACCCACAGGGAGTGGGATACATTACCCTGTAGTCCTCTCAGCCGCTGGGTAATCATAGGGTTTTGCGAGATGACACC